CTATCCTAACAATGTTATTGGTCCATTTCTAGGTGAAAATGGTAGAATTATCAATAGTGATGTAGAAAGGAGAGAAATGTTCAATAAATATTTCTGTTCTGTATCTTGGGGAAAAAAACACAACAGATGATGTAGTCATATTAGATGGTAACACTCTTTCCATTCTACTAGTATCCCGGGAGGATGTTAAACAGCAGCTGCTGAAGTTAAACATTTTTAAAACAGCAAGTCCAGATAACTTGCATCCAAAGGTTTTAAAAGAGCCAACTAATGAGCTCATTAGATCATTAATGTTGATCTTCAATAAGTTTTAGAACACTGGGGAACTTCTAGAAGATTGGACGAAAGCTAGTGATTTGCCAGTATTTATAAAAGATAAATGGGTTGACTCAGGTAATTATAAACCCACCAGTCTGACATCTATCCCAGGCAAGATAAAAGAGTGGCTGAAATGGAACTCAATTAATAAAGAAATAAAGGAGGGTAATATAATTAATTACCATCAATATGGGTTTATGGAAAATAGATCCTCTCAAACTACCTTGATATCTTTACCAACCAAATATATAATCTCATCAAAAAATAAAGGTAATAGATCTAATATACTTAGACTTCTGCAAGGCATTTGACTTGATGCTACACAACATTAAAATTGATTAAAATTAGAAATATATAAAATTAACATGGCACATATTAAATGGATTAAAAACTGGCTAACTGATAGGTCTCAAAATGTAATTGTAAACAGGGAATTGTCATCAAGTGGGTGTTTCTAGTGAGGACAGTTCTTAGTCCTACATTATTTAACATTTTTATCAATGACCTAGAAGAAAATATAAAATCACCACTGATAAAGTTTGCACATGACACAAATATTTGGGAAGTGGTAAATAAAGAAGAAGACAGGTCAGTGATACAGATATATCTGGATCGCTTGGTAAGCTGGGTTCAAGAAAACAATATGCATTTTAATATGACTAAATATAAATATACATTTAAGAACAAAGGATATAGGCCATCATTACATGATGGAGGACTCTATCCTGGGATAGAGTCTGAAAAAGATAGAGTCTGAAAAAGATATAGTGTCTGAAAAAGATTTGGGGTCATGGTGGATAACCAGATGAACATGAGCTCCCAATGTGACTCTGTAGCCAAAAGGGTGAATGAAATCCTTGGATGCATCAACAAGGGAGTCTAGTGTAGGAATAGAGAGGTTATTGTACTTCTGTATTTGGCACAAGTGCAACTGCTGCTGGAATTCTTTTCTGGTGTCCAAAATTCAGTAAAGATGTTGTGGAATTGGAGAGGGTTGAGAGAAGAGCCACAAGAAAAATCAAAGGTTTAGAAAACATGCCTTATAACCGTGACCATCAATCAGGCATACACGTACCCCTGGAGGTATGCAGAGATCTTCCAGGGGATACATCAGCTCATCTAGATATTTGCGTAGTTTTACAACAGGCTACATAAAAAGCACTAGCGAGGTCAGTACAAACTAAAATTTCATACAGACAATGACTTGTTTATACTGTTCTATATACTATACATTGAAATGTAAGTACCATATTTATATTCCAGTTGATCTATTTTATAATTATATGGTAAAAATGAGAAAGTCAGCAATTTTTCAGTAATAGTGTTCTGTGATATTTTTATATCTGATTTTGTAAGCAAGGAGTTTTTAAGTGAGGTGAAACTTGCGGGTACACAAGACATATCAGACTCCTAAAAGGGATACAGTAGTCAGGAAAGGTTGAGAGCCACTGCCTTATAGGGGTAATTTAAATAATTCAATCTTTTTAGCTTACCAAACAGAAGGTTAAGGGGTGACTTGATCAGAGGTTATTAGTACCTGCATGGAAAACAATATTTGATAATAGCCTCTTCAATCTAGCAGAGAAAGGTATAAAACGATCCAAAGGCTGGACATTGAAAATCTACAAATTCAGACTGGAAACAAGGTGTACATTTTCAACAATTAGAATAATTAAATATTGGAACAATTTACCAAGGATCACGGTGGATTCTCCATTACTGGCAATTTTTAAATCAAGATTAGATTTTTTTCTACAAGATCTGCTCTAGGAATTATTTGGGGGAAGTTCTATGGACTGTGTTATAGAGGAGGTTAGACAAGATGATCACAATGGTCCCTTCTCACCTGGGAATCTATGCATCTTTGCCTCATTTGCAGAGATAATCCCTCAGCTGAGTTGGGGGTGGGGTGGAGGAAGCTTGCTGTGAATGGGGTGGGGACAGAGGGATCGGAGGGGGATCGAGGGGAGTTACTGAGGGGGGTGCTGGCAATTGCGCAATGCAGACCAGTAAGGGGTTTTGTCACCACTTGCACTACAACCCTGGCTGCCTTGCAATGCTTTGCTTCTGTAGCGCCCAGCTTGGGACACTCACAGCCAGCTCACAATCATGCAATCACCACCTGAGTGTCAGTGTGCTAGACAGCCCTGGTTCAGCAGCTCTGACTTCAGCAGCCGGTCTACAGCCTCACAGCCCCACTGTGGCTTCCACCATCCTTCATGGCAACCAGCAGGGTGGCTCCAACACATTCCCAGTCCTCAGTTTCCCCAAAACTCTGTGCCCTGAAGTGTGCAGCCCTCTCCTGGACAGCTCAGAGAAATCATAAGGTTCACACACACATCACAGCATGTTAAGTTAACTGGGGTAAGTACACCCTTGCTTGCGAACACAGCACTGAGTTGATTTATAGTAAAAACAAAACAAACCTATTAACAATAGGACATAGGTTACGTGACGCCAGGTAAAGGAAATAAAAGTGGAGATGGTTACAAGCAAATAAAAATGAAGACACAAATCCAAAAGTCCAAAACTTAATCTAGCAAGGTACAGGCTTTGTTCAAGATGTTTTCTCACACCAATCTTCCTTCTTCCCAGCCATGGCTGGCTTTCCCTCACTTAGAACCTTCCACAGTAGTACCAGGTACTGTCTTCCCTTGTTTTCCTGTGTAAGATTTTTGCCTAAGCAGATTTTTCAGCTATATTCACTTCGCAGAGACTTCAACCCCCACCTTTTTTGAAGGACCCTCAACTTGCAAGAGTTCTGTTCCCTTGGATCTGTCTAGTAATGGATGCCAAGGATGGCTTCTGTCTTTGCTTATATTTTCCAAAGTTCAATGACCTTGTTTCAAGAGGCAGGGTGATCTCATGCTGTTCTTCCCTTTCTGTGGGCTTCCCATCCACCTGTACATAAATGGGACTTCCGCTGTTTTGATTCCGCCATGCTTAATTTACATAGGAGACAGGTAAATAGCTGTGACATTCCCTCCTGTCTGAGAGAGACCTGTGTCTCCTTTTGTTTGGGCACAGGCTGTAAAGCCTAATTTCAATGAGTATCTGTAATTCCTTCTAGAGTGTTAATACATATATTTCATCGTGATATTAATCACCTGTGTGTCATAGCCTTTCATAAAACTTCTCACTCGATAAACTTTTGGAATACCCTAATATGGTACACAATCAGTTGATTCAATTGCTTCTCACTTGAGGTTCAACCCACTGTCTTTATAGCCCAGATAAAATTTCACTTTCTTGCTCAAAGCTGTTTCCTCCCACATTTGTTAGCTTGTCAGCTCTGTTAACCTAAATGAAGATCCATTTACATATGTCTCTGCCTGCTCATCAGGCTGGTTAGAAAACAAATGCACATTCCTTTGCCTAGGACGGACCAGTTTATCAACTCCCCCTGACGTGCCTGGCTTAAACTCATTTTAGTCGTCATTCCAGCTTATATCCAAAACTCTAAATGTATACTGCATACATACATCACTCAAGAATATTAATGATTAGTGAGTTATTAGTTTTCCAATGACATATTACAGGTCACCTTTTAGAAAAATATCATGACACTAGTGTGTGAGGTGTAGTGAGTATGTCAGGCCTGACAAAAGGTGCTGACAGAGTAGTGAACCACAAATGGGCCTCTGTGGCACTGGTGCCCTGTGCTTCCCTGCCCCGCAGTGGCTGGTGACCTGTGCACAATGTTCCCTTGCTGCCCACCCAGGTGCTGGTGCCCTGTCCCACACCTCACCCTGGATAGCCCACGTGCTTCAAGTCCTGCCCCTCTCCTGGACGTTCTCCACCTGCTCCCCTGCGGCCAATTTAATCTCTTGTGCTGCTGTGGCTGCTTCAGACCCTCCTCTGGGTCCTGCTTTTGCCTCTCCCCCTGCCTCATGGGCTGCGGGTGAAGCTTCCCCTTGGGGAGGCTAGCCCCCTGCCTGCCTCTTACAGCCGAGAGGCCACACCCCCACTCGCTGCTCTCAGCCCCCCCATAGCCATGGCCATGGCCAGGGCAGGGCAGCGGGGGCTGAGAGCTTGGCGCCTCCCACATGGCCCTGGCTAGGGTGGGGGGTGGGAGGGGTTGAGAGCTCGGCCTTGGTTGGGGTCAAGCTCCCGGCTCTGGCTACAGCTCTGAGCCCAGAGCCCCTCCCCAGTCCACCCCTTCCACCTGAGGCTCCTCCCATGGCCCCACCCCATTCTGCCCCTTCCCCTCCAACCCCACCCCTGTTCCGCCCCTTCTCCCATGGCCCTGCCCCCGTTCCACCCACTGCCCCATCCCTGTTCCACCCCTTTCCCTGTGGCCACGCCCCTGTTCCACCCCCTTCTCCCCCTCCCCAAGGCCCTGCCCCCTCTATGGCCTGAGACTGGAAAAGCTCTGGGGCTGTGGTAGGGGTAGATTTTTCTAGGGACCCCAAATCCACCACTGCTCCACCCCAGCAGCACGAGGTTTGGGGAGGCTTAGCCTCCCCCAGCTTCCATTATGCACCACCTATACTCTTTCCCCCAGCCCTCCACAGCCCATGCACATGCGCAAGGGGAGAAACATAGATGGGTCCCACTCTCACCTCTGTGAGATAATGTGTGGGCTGAAAATATCAGGAGGGTGGAAACATAGATCCACTCCCCCAATATTTCCATTGCAGGGGCTTTAGCTCCCCTTACTCCCACCACTCCTGAAAAGTTACCTGAGTTACCACCTCCATAAAAGTCATCCATACAGGCAAGCTTATCCTTTTGGACTCCCCTCCCTGCAAAACAAACAAACAAACAAAATCCCCTTTTCCCTGTGTCTCTCTGCAGTCAGTACAAATCTGAGGAGTAAAGCTGCTTTCAGTTGTTTATAGTCCCCACAGCCTGTCCCAAACATTGGGCTGTAAGCATCTATGGCTTTACCTCCCAAAGAAGGACAACAGAAAATGGAGTCAATCTGCAGAGGGAACCCATTTTAAATCACAAGCCTTCTCAAAAGCAGTGAAATAGACATCAATATATCATCCTCCTTAAACTGGGGAAACAATTAACCATCTTTAATCACTGTGGAATTGATACTGTGTTCTGTCCCCATTTACTGAATCACCAGGTCCCTGGTTCTTCAGTCGCTTTCTCTCACTCTCACTCTGATTATCATACTCCCTGTCAGTGAACAGTTTCTCATTCAGGAACAGCTTCCTCTTCTCCAGCTGTAGCTTCCTTCATTCCAGGTCCTACTAATTTGGGAAACGTGGTCTGGATGGGACAGAATTACTCCCCCAGCTGTTGCATACACTCCAAACATCTTCCTCCATGTCATTGTCCTCAGACTTTCCCAGTCCTGCTAGTTTATTCTGGCCTCTGTTTTTCCTCAAACTCTCCTGGCAGACTGCATCCTTCCCACAAGTTCACGCAGTTCTGAACTGTGATTATCAACACAGTTTTCCTGTAAAAAGACGTGGTCTGGTAGGGACTCAAAGAAGATTTCAGTTCAAGTTCCTCATCTGCCACACAGATTTTCCGGGTAACCACTTAATCTCTGTGTTTCAGTTCCTTGTCGGTAACGGGGGGATCGTCATTCTTCCCTACTTCACTGGGTTGTGGTAATAAATATGCGGAAACAAATGAAATCACCTGAGCATCATCTGATAATGAGTGTAGCACTTTTCTTTCCGAATGAAAATGCATTCCTTAAAAATATATAGGCATGGAACAGTTAAAGGAACTTGGTTACATGGGAAAGTAAAAAAGAAAAAAAATCCTTGGTCTGTGTGACCTGGGTCACTCTTGGGCTCAGGACAAACCACTACCAACAGCTTGGTCAGGTGTAACAAAACAAAGTGGGTTTATTTGGCTGTCACTTACCCCACTGTAAGAAGCACAGCACTGGCAGCAAATACTAATCTTCAGGGAGGCTGTGGCAGGTAGCAGTCTCTCAAGAAATCCCTGTCCAAGCCCCTCTCACAGAGGTCAGCCCCAACTGACTTACATTCTCCAATTTCAGACCCTCCTTCCAAGCCTGACACTTACTGCAGGCGCAGCAGGGCAGGAGGGACTGAGCCCACAGCAGCCTGTTAACCCTTTCCTCACCAGGGGGGATTTGCATACCTCATCACAGTCTGTTAACATATTTTGTAGAAATAAATGTACAAAGACTCATAAGAATCAGCATCTGCAGAGTCAAAAGAGACAGGATCTGGCTAAGAAGTTCCATACCTCGCTTTTGATGTTACTTATGAAAATCTCAGGCCCTGATCCTCACTCCCTCATAACAATTTGACACCATGGAATTACATGGCATAAAGCTGACATAAAAGAATGGAAACTGTGGCCCTACATTTTGTTACTGAAAAAAGTTGTATGATTTTCAGGTCTTATTTTGCAGCAGAACTTAATAATGATTTTTATAGCTTATTGTCATCTCCGTTTTCCCACACTTTACCACAGGGACTTTATTTAGGAAAATCAGTGAGTATGCCTCAGACTTTATTTTTTCTTTGGGAGAGGAGAGAACAGGCTTTGTCTTTAACCTGAACGTCAGAACCCAGGGGAGGACACATTACTATAAATTGAAGCCTGTTCCAACATTCTCTTCACACCTCAGTTAACACTGATTTGTGAAAAGGAATTTGTCACATGAGTGAGGCATTGGAAGATTCAAAACAAGTAAGAACGAACCCTTAACTCCAGATACAATAAATTAAAATAATTTCTTTTTCCAGTTATTTCACTTATTTTAAATCACCAGGGAAAAGTGGCTGCTACAGAAATCTTCCATTGTTATAATATTTAAAGTTGTGAATGAATCTTAATGTATGTGTTCAAGATCATATTGTGGAGTTATTATATTAAAACCCATATTTACTTTTTTTTCCAGGAGAAGTTGGAAATAGGCGCATGTATTTCCTTTACTAGATCATAACCATCAGTTCAGGAATTCAATTTGTTGGAAATAATGAACTCAACTTTTTTTGATAACGAAGATTTGCAATACTGCTTTGAGAACATGAATGAATCTTGCTATAAAACACCATTGTCTTCTGGACTCCGAGTATCTTTGTATATTGTGCTTGGTTTGCTGGTGATTTTTACAGTAGGTGGAAATCTAATGGTAGTTGTTTCCATTGTTTATTTTAAGCAGCTTCACTCACCTACACATTTTTTGATTGCCTCCTTGGCATGTGCTGACTTTGGTTTGGGTCTGACTGTGTTACCCTTTAGCACTGTAAGATCTGTTGAAACATGCTGGTATTTTGGGGAAATATTCTGTAGATTTCACTATTGTTTAGATGTATCTTTGTGCCAAGCATCAATATTTCACTTGTGTTTCATCTCTGTTGATCGATATGTTGCTGTCAACAACCCTTTAATTTATCCCATCAAGTTCACAGTGCCAGTTTCAGGAATGTTCATAGCTGCTGCCTGGATATTTTCATTAGTATTCAATTTTTCTGTTGTCTTCGCTGGGTCTAACGACAAAGGGATGCAAGAATTAGTAAATGGCCTCTCCTGTGCAGGGAGTTGTCAGATTATCTTAAATAAAATGTGGGTGGTTGTATCCTCTCTCCTTTATTTCATACCTTTCTTTGCAATGATAGTGCTTTACAGCAGGATCTTTGCTGTGGCTAAACAACAAGTTAGAATGATAGAGATGATGAGCAACAATACCCAGCCATCTAATAATTACAGTGATAGAGTTGGCAGAAGAGAGAGGAAAGCTGCTAAAACCCTGGGTATACCTGTGATTGCTTTCTTGGTATTCTGGTCACCTTATTTGATAATTGTAACAATTGATGCTTTCCTCAACTTCATAATTCCACCCCTTATCTTTGACATTGCAGTTTGGTTTGCTTATTCTAACTCTGCCATTAATCCTTTGATTTACTCTGTCTTTTATCCTTGGTTTCGAAAAGCAATGAAAGTGATTGTGAGCTGTAAAATCTTCCACCTTGATTGCTCAACAATGAGTTTGTTTTCTGAATGAAAATGTATCTTGTACAGCTAAGTTCTGATTCCAGGTCACGGTCTTCCTCTGTCTATTTCGTTGTTTTTCCTTTAAAATAATCTCCCAGGCTTTTATAGCTGTATACTTTGAATCCTAATGAAAATCATGTTGAGTTATTTTTAATAAAGTCCATTTTTTTCAAATGTTCTGATTTAAAGTGTAAGTGCATATCTTTTTTTTAATGAGGCTGAATAAAAAAGTAGATTTTTGCTTAATTGACTCTTCTCTGTATTATATAGCATTATTTTTGTAAAATATAACATTGTTATATAGAATTTCTGACAAAATTAGAATACATTGCACTATAAACATTGGATATATTTAGCTCTGATTGGATAATTTTATTTTGTATTTTTCTATATCACTGGTTGACTTAGAAACTCTCTAGGCTCTAGAATAGGCCGCTGCAGCTGCCATGGCTGCCCCGTTCTCTCCAAGAGCCATTGCCTTAAAAAAACCAGGCACTGTCACTGACATGTCCACCAACATCTTGCAGACATTCTGTCTGTGTCCTGCAATAAGCTGCAAGCAGGAATAGCTCTTCAACTGGTGCAGGATCCATGGCTTGTCTCTGGCTGGAATGGATGAAACAGGGAATGCACAGAAAGGAAGAACCTTGTCTGGATGTGTTGGTGGGCTGAGAACACATCTGTACAGAGCCATGGGACAGACAGACAAGTTCTCCCACATACACTGCATACCAGCTCCAGCTGACAAGGTGCTAAGAACCCTAGGATGCACTCCCAGAGATCCCAATGTCAGACACATGTCTGTGCCGTGCCAGTGTGGATGTGGCTATATGGGCATGAGGTGTGCATCCACTGCAGTTTAGATGTTAACAAGCATGCTTGGCAAACACTCATTTGCAGGTGCAGGTGCCTGGACATGGATACAAAATGCAGTGTAGACATATGCCAAGTGTTCACTAAAGGGAGGCTTAACTTGAGCCATTCTTTTTCCTTCCTGCTTGTTTTTCCAAACTGCTGCTTTCCTTCCTGCTTGTTTTACCCTGTATTAAACTAAACCAATATATTAATACACTAAGCATCCCAATAGCCAAAAGTAATATAAATTATTCATAAATTATTACACAGTACTTCTATATCTAGCCCAGTTGTTTCCATGGAAATTTACAAACACTGGAATTTTTCTTTTTTCAGAATCTCTTTTGAAACTCTGGGTTAATTAGAACAGTAGGTGTTTTTATGGGTATTAGATGATTCAGAAGATTGGTAATAGGATCATGTCTATTTAGGATTTTTCTAATGTGCTGGCCATCATGGTATCTGGGAACCAAATGCACAAGCTATGCATTGTTTCAAATTATGCAAAGTCTCCTCAATTGTAAAATGAGATTGTACAAAAAGACAGTCCAGTAATTAAGACGCTCTAGTGGGGCTCGAGAAGATTGGGTTCAGTTCTTCCTCTGTACACAGACTTCATTTCTGCAGGTTTCGTTTCCCTGTCAGTAAATATAGGGATAACGTTACTTCCCTATCTCTTTGAAACATGGCAATAAATGTGCCTGTCCCAGGGGTCTCCAGAGTTGTGAGGCATCTCACCTCTATCAGTCCTTAGCATGAGGAAGTCTTCTCTGTATCTGCTGTGGGCTCACTCCCTGACTCCAGCAGCCTCTGGCAATAGAAGCACTACCTTCCAGGCTTTTGCAGGCCTCACTCTCTCTACACAGGCTAGCAACCCCGTCCTTTGGGCATCTCTCTGGGGTGTCCAGCCTCTGGTTCACTAAATGCTCACAGAGCTCTCAGATTCTCTACTTCCCAAGGGATAGTACACACCACAGCTTACTAGTCCACTTAGAATGCCCCTCTGCTTAAAACACAGCACTTCAATTTGTTCATAGAGAAAGCAAGTATAAGTTTATTTAACAAGGAACAGAGAGTCATATGACAACAAGCAGAAATGTTGAAAAAAAAGGGTTACATATAAAACAAAATCATAGGCTTTTTATGGCCTAAACTGAGCAAACAAATTAGCCTTCAGTCTAAAGAAGTTCTTCCCAGCATTTTCAGACAAGCCTAGCTGAGATCTTTTTCATGAAGCAAACCCAATGCCAGTTTAATTCCTTGGGGAAGGATCCCAGGGTGTCATTTTTTCACCCCCAGAACAGACCTTTGATCTTCACCTGAAAAGAGGGTTCCTCCCCCCTCCACTGCTGTTTACCTCTTCCCGTTAATTTTCTTTTGACTTCCGTGCAAACTCTTTATTAGCATTTGATTTAGTATGCTGTTACACAACATGGTCCTTTATCCCAGGATGTTCCCTCTCCAGAGGTTTATCTTGGAGTTCCTCTGTCTTTGTAAATCCTCAGATCTCTGCCTGATCCAGACAGTAAATATAGCCTGTCACCGAGTATGTCCATTGTTTTTATGCTTATTGAATTAGCCTGGAGGCATGCATACACAATGGTCTGCTAGAGAGATAAGTGTTTATTACCCCCTTCCTGCCTAGAATCTGCTTATCACCGTCTGTTGACCTGCCATAACTTACCTGCTTTAAGAACATAGTTGTCAGGATATCTACATAACTTTACACATTACCTGCACATATATTTAACAATGATTAAGATGACCAGCGTGACAGATGCTTTCAGTAGAGACCTTACACGACCCCTTTTGATGAACCCAGGGCATCCCTAAACTCTATCTACCTCTGAGCGCCCTGTCAGTTGGCATCAAGAGGTTTCTGGGTCAGCCTAACCAAGTGCAAAAACAATGAGGAGTCCTTGTGGCACCTTAGAGACTAACAAATTTATTTGGGCCTAAGCTTTCATGGGCTATAACCCACTTCATCAGATGCATGGAGTGAAAATACAGTAGGCAGGTATAAATATACAGCACATGAAAAGATGGGAGTTGCCTTACCAAGTTGGGGGTCAGTGCTAATGAGCCAATTCAATCAGCGTGGATGTGGCCCTTTCCCAACAGTTGACAAGATGGTGTGAGTATCAACAGGGGGAAAATTACTTTTTGTAGTGACCCAGCCACTTCCATTTATTCAGGCCTAATTTGATGGTGTCCAGTTTGCAAATTAATTCCAGTTCTGCAGTTTCTCGTTGAAGTCTTTTTTTGAAGTTTTTTTGTTGAAGAATGGCCACTTTTAAGTCTTAAGTCTGTTACTGAGTGTCCAGGGCGATTGAAGTGCTCTCTTACTGGTTTTTGAAGGTTACAATTCTTGATGTCTTATTTGTGTCCATTTACTCTTTTGCGTAGAGACTGTCCGGTTGACCAATGTACATGGCAGAGGGGCATTGCTGGCACATGATGGCATATATCATATTGGTAGATATGCAGGTGAATGAGCCCCTGATGGTGTGGCTGATGTGGTTAGGTCCTATGATAGTGTCCCTTGAATAAATATGTGGACAGAGTTGGCAACCGGGTTTGTTGCAGGGATTGGTTCCTGGGTTAGTGTTTTTGTTGTGTGGTGTGTAGGTGCTGGTGAGTATTTGCTTCAGGTTGCGGGGCTGTCTGTAAGTGAGGACTGGCCTGTCTCCCAAGGTCTGTGAGAGTGAGGGATCGTCCTTCAGGATAAGTTATAGATCCTTGATGATGCGCTGGAGAGGTTTTAGTTGAGGGCTGTAGGTGATGGCTAGTGGCATTCTGTTACTTTCTTTGTTGGGCCTGTCCTAGTAGGTGACTTCTGGGTACCCTTCTGGCTCTGTCAATCTGTTTCTTCACTTCCCCAGTGGGAATTGTAGTTGTAAGAATGCTTGATCGAGATCCTGTAGGTGTTTGTCTCTGTCTGAGGGATTGGAGCAAATGCTGTCATAAATATAAAGGGAAGGGTAAACCCCTTTGAAATCCCTCCTGGCCAGGGGAAAGCTCCTCTCACCTGTAAAGGGTTAAGAAGCTAAAGGTAACCTCGCTGGCACCTGACCAAAATGACCAATGAGGAGACAAGATACTTTCAAAAGCTGGGAGGAGGGAGAGAAACAAAGGGTCTGTGTGTCTGTCTATAGTCTGTCTTTGTCGGGGATAGACCAGGAATGGAGTCTTAGAATTTTTAGTAAGTAATCTAGCTAGGTACGTGTTAGATTATGATTTCTTTAAATGGCTGAGAAAAGAACTGTGCTGAATAGAATAACTATTTCTGTCTGTGTATCTTCTTTGTAACTTAAGGTTTTGCCTAGAGGGGTTCTCTATGTTTTGAATCTAATTACCCTGTAAGGTATCTACCATCCTGATTTTACAGGGGGGATTTCTTTATTTCTATTTACTTCTATTTTTATTAAAAGTCTTCTTGTAAGAAAATTGAATGCTTTTTTCATTGTTCTCAGATCCAAGGGTTTGGGTCTGTGGTCACCTATGCAAATTGGTGAGGCTTTTTATCCAATATTTCTCAGGAAAGCGGGGTGCAAGTGTTGGGAGGATTGTTCATTGTTCTTAAGATCCAAGGGTCTGGGTCTGTAGTCACCTAGGCAAATTGGTGAGGCTTTTTACCAAACCTTGTCCAGGAAGTGGGGTGCAAGGTTTTGGGAAGTATTTTGGGGGGAAAGACGCGTCCAAACAGCTCTTCCCCAGTAACCAGTATTAGTTTGGTGGTGGTAGCGGCCATTCCAAGGATAACGGGTGTAATATTTTGTACCTTGGGGAAGTTTTGACCTAAGCTGGTAAAGATAAGCTTAGGAGGTTTTTCATGCAGGTCCCCACATCTGTACCCTAGAGTTCAGAGTGGGGGAGGAACCTTGACAAATGCAGTTGTATCTTAGGGCTTGGCTGTAGACAATGGATCGTGTGATGGGTGCCACAAGGACTCATTGTTTTTGTGGATACAGACTAACCCGTCTACCCCTCTGAAACCTGTAGCCAAATGCAATCACCCAAGCATTAGCTGATAACAAGCATAGTGCTTTTCTTTCCAAAAAAAGATGCATTCTTTGAAGAACATTGGGGTAGAACAGCAAAAAGAGCTTGATTCCAAGGAAAAGTGAAAAACAAACAAACAAAAATTCTTGGCCTGTGTGATCTGGGTCACTCCTGCTACCAAGACCTTAGTCAGGTGTAACAGAGGCGGTTTATTTGGCTGTCACAGCCTTACCCCACAGCAGCAAGCAAGGCATAGTAGCAAACACCAATCTCTCATCAGCCTCCTTCAGGGAGGCTCTGGCAGGAGGCAGTCTCTCAAGCAGTTCCTGGCTCCAACCAGGCTTGTCTCAGACATAGGTGCTTGAACTAGGGGTGCTGGGGGTGCAGTAGCACCCGCTGGCTTGAGGTGGTTTCCATCATATCCAGGATCTGCAGGTTGGTTCAATGGCTCTCAGCACCCCCACTATACAAATTGTTCCAGCACCCCTGGTCTCATAGGTCAGCCCTCCAACTGAGCTGTGCTCTCCTCTCCCAACTCCTCCCCGCAAGCCCAACACCTGGAGGGCAGGTACAGTGGAGTAGGGCTGTATTAACGCTTTCCTGACCAGAGTGGAGCCCTATCATGGTGTGTTAATATATTTTGTGGAAATATATGTGTAAAGACTCATAAGAATGAGCATCTGAAAAGTAAAAATAAAAATAAAATAAAATAAAATAAAAATGACAGAAGACCAAGAAGTTTCAAGCCTTTCTTTTGCTGTTACTATTGAATATCTCAGGTTCTGATCCTCACTCCACAGCAGTTTTATACCATAGAGTTACATGGCAGAAAACTGGTGCAAATGACCGTGGCCCTAAATTTTGTTACGGAAAAAAGTCGTACAATATTCATGTCTGACATGATAGTAAATCGTTGTTTTGCAGCACATACAACTTAATAATGATTTTACACCTTGTTGTCATCTTAGTGTCCCCATCCTTCACCATGGGGACTTTTTTACTTAGAAAGATCAGTGGCCTGCTTCAGACTTTGGGCTTGTCTACACTAGAAACTTGCATAGGCACAACTGCACCAATGATATAAACGGATTTTTTGTTCATAATTTTTCCCAGATGTATTTCAGTTTGATTCAGTTCTATGCTTCATTGTGGCCCACTGTATACCACTCCGATCACTCGGACCAATGCATTCTTTTGCTTATTTGAAGTTTTGCCTGCTTGATAAGTTTGATGCTCACATTATAGGCAATCTCCAGGTGTGTGATGGGGGTAATGTTTTTACTTTCTACTGATGGATGGAGTGGACAGGAGGATGAGGATAGAATTTTCGGTTTCTGCTCAAGGTAACAGAAAGACTCAATGTAGCATGGCAGCTTGCCTAATGTACTTGGGTTTGATATACTATCAGTACTTCTTCCGATGGGGAATCCAGAGAAGTTAATGTCACCTCCCAGATGACCCCATCATGTGATTTTTCTCTCTCTCCCATGACTGGGGTAAAAGTGTAAGATTTATTCAATCCCCTCTCAAACCAGTTAACTGTGATTTTGATGGTTGGAGGAAATAATTCCTGCACTTTTAAGTTTTTCTTTTTTTCCTGGAATTAGAGTGGCTTGTTCTAATACTACAGCAGTTTCCAAAATAAAACTGAGGGAGCAACAGATGGTGAATGAATGAAATGAGGTTCAATGTCACTCTTGATAGAAGTAGTGAGTATCATAGATGCACTGATTGAGAAAAACACTTACACACATTCTTAAGTACATCTCTATTCAGGACAGCCCATAAACATGTGCTTTAGGGCTCTCTTGAATATGGCTGTTTTCCTGAATTGGGGACAGAGATTGAGGACTTCTTAGATTAATGAAAAAGGCATGCATTGTGAAATATTCAAATGCTGGGAATGTACTTACTGCTAGAGCCCAATGACATACCTCATTTGTACCTGAATTGGAAAGTTCATTAAACATAGTATATTCTTGTCATGGAAAAAGTTTCCTAATATGAAACTCTGTTGGGGGCAAAACATTATGTTATTTGGCTTTGTTTTGTTAAATATGCTGATTATAGTATTCAAGCAACTAAAGTCATTCAGTTCATACAAGTCCTCATTTGTTAAGTCAATGAAAAACTTCCTATTGACTTCAGTGGGTTTTGGATCAGGCTCACACAGATTATTTTACTGTTAGCTATACGCAATCTGTTCTTTAACAGTAACTATACAATCATACACCACACTTCGTACTTTATCTTGTTTGTGACGCAAAAACATGTGTACAATCTGACTATGACATGAAGTGATTTTTAAAAAAGCACTCTGCTACAGACCAGTTTTCATATGTAACAATTCGTTTATATACAAATAAATAAACAATAGAAAAAAAGTAGAAAAAATACTTAAGTAATTATTGAGTTGCTCATTTATTTTATAAAGAGATTTTACTATATTTGGAAGTTTTTAAAAACGGACATTTTCTGGAAAGCACATTCATAGGAGACTAGAGATGTGGCAAGATAATTCCCATAGGTCTGGTTAGAAAGGTGTATTGCAGAATTTGCAGCAGACCAGATCTTTCAACTTTTTCTGACCCTTTTATTAACATTTACACTGTAAAAGCATATAATCAGAGCCAGAAAGAAACTGAGAGTATAGACTGAGACCACATTCAGCAAGATACTTAAGCATACACCTAACTTTAAGCATGTAAACAGTCTCATTGACTTCTTTGGGATTAATCATGTGCTTAAAATTGGGAATGTGCTCAAGTACCTTGCTAAATCAGGGCCTAAAATGCTTAAGAAAATGACAATTATGTGTGATTACAAGGTAAGCTGTACACTATCATGTTTTTTTTAACATATTGCTGATTTTATATCACATACCACACAGAAAAATAATGATTAACTTGGTGATGAGAGAAGAGGAAACAATTTATCTTTGCTTTTAATCAAACAACATTTTTCTGTTTTCACGAACATGGGAGAAGGAGGGATGCAAAAACCATTCTATTTCAGAACCAGACTGGTATCCTTACAGTAGAGGGTTATGTTATTCTGCACAAACTGATAATATTAGTGCTTTAAAAGTTTACTAACACCATAAAACAAACAAAAGGCATTGACAATTTATATGCAGATATGATTGTTCTGGAAGGTAAGTGACAAGTACGTCTAGTATGTGAAACCCAAGTTAGAGTCTGCCTGATCTAGCTGCTTTGAGAAAGATGGACATTGAGTTGAATAATGCCAGCTCACTGAATGTTCCAAAAACCATTATGAGAACTGCTTTGATATCATCATAGATATCATAGCATATCAGGGTTGGAAGGGACCTCAGGAGATCATCTAGTCCAACCCCCTGCTCAAAGCAGGACCAATCCCCAATTTTTGCCCCAGATCCCTAAATGGCCCCCTCAAGGATTGAACTCACAACCCTGGGTTTAGCAGGCCAATGCTCAAACCACTGAGCTATGATGATTTGTAGTTCAGTATTTTTCTGTTGTCTTTCAGGATTTCGGTTCAGCTTTTCAAAACTGCCTAAATAAAATTGACAGGAATTGGGCCTCCCGACTCTGTTGCTTGCTTTGAAAACCTCATCTTTCCACTGGGCAGAAATAATCTGTCAATATCATTTCCCAGAGTTTTTATTTCTTATCATGTTCTCAGTATTGCTTCTCATTACTTACCACTTTAATAAATAGCGAAAAGGAAAGGGTCTCCTCCTTGGGGCCATGTTTATGGTTGTGAGCTATTTTCACAGACAGTGTTATCTAAAAGCTCTGGTCATTCCTCATACAAGTCTACTGTAGATATCCCAGAACCAATGATGTTGCGAGTTAAAATTAGTTTCACTGCCTTCCTGAACCAACGGTAGGAAAACACGTAAATCAAGGGATTGCAGGCTGAATTAAAGTAAGCAAACCAGATTAGGACATCAAAAATAACTGGTGGAGTAGTGAAATTTAGAAGACAGTCTACCATGGTGTCTATAGTAAAGGGCAGCCAGCACAGGAGGTAGATTCCTACAGCTATACCAAGAGTTTTAGCTGCCTTTCTTTCCCTCTTTGATGCTCCTAAGTGTAGCCCAAATCCAGCACTCTTGTTCATGCTGCTTATCCGTCTAGCTTGTCTGTTTGCCACAATAAATATTTTCACATACAAAGCTATCATTATGAGGCAGGGGAAGAAGAATAGAGGGAAGTTGAACCAGCCCCAGAGTTTGTTGAACAGTAGCTGACATCTACCAATACAGGGCATTTCTTGTAAGAAATGGCCCAACCCTTCCTCAATTGGATTGGTATAGAGCAAGACAAAAGTATAAATCATGGGGACCCCCCACCCAATCGCTATATATACACAAGCCACTCTTACGGTAAACTTAGTGGGGTAGAGCAAAGGATCACAGATAGCATAGTGACGATCAATGGAAATAAAACACAGATGAAATATAGAGGTCAAACAAAAGACAGTGTCCAGAAAGGTATGCAGCCTACAAAAGTCATCTCCAAAATACCAGCAGCTCTCCACAGATCGGATAGTGCTGAAGGGCAGCACCGTTAACCCCAGGAGGAGATCTGCGAGGGCCAGGGAGAGTAGTAAGAAGTTGGTGGGAGTATGTAGAGTTTTGAATTGGGAGACTGCAATCATCACCATCAGGTTCCCCAGTACTGTGAGCAGCATGCCCATGGCACAGACCATGTAGATGGCCAGCTGGACGCCAAAGGAGTGAAGCGTTCTGGAGCAGGAACCATTCACTTCATAGCACAATGTAGTGGACACCATTTCATTAGCACTGGGCTTCTGGACAGAGCTTATTTCTTCCTTATCAGCTGTCCACACCTTCTCCAGCTCTTCCACACTTCCAATAAATGACTCGGCTTTTAATGGGGATCCAGACACTTTATCTTCTATGTGAAAAAAAATAAAAAATAAGGTAGGAGGGAAAGAAAACCACATGTTCATGAATACATTGGAGAGTGTCTATCTTTCAAATGAAAAGGGCCAGTTTCTTGATGAATTTGCCTATAACTTTTTAAGGCATAGTTTTTCATATATATTTTTCCTTTACTCTCTCAGTCAGAAATATTTATTTATGCAACCACTTGGAATAAATGAAGGAAATATAGCAAAGGGAGAAAGGGAGATTGAGTTAACATTCTGTCATAGAAGTATATTGAGTACAAGTCTCTGGAAGCTGGGGTGTGTGAACGGGTCTTTATAGCTGATCCTATATAATAATGAATTAGTTCTTGTGAATTTCCACCGGCAGTGATGTTTTCCTTTAATTAGTTTTTGAGAGGTTTTCAATCAGTAATGAAAATAATTATTTTTTTATTGTGAGACTGACTAGAAACTGTGTTTGCTTCTTATGGAAAAATGATCTTTTCTTACAAAAAAATCCATGTCATATTGCAGATAGAAAATCCAAAAGGGCAAATTGCTCATTTTTGTATACTTCCAGTTACACAGATGAATGCAGAAAACATTATAAGACTGAATATTCCACATTCAACTAATCAGTTGTAATGACTAACAGACTTCCTAAAACTCTATCGCTACTTTTCTCCCATGTCATTACTATGTAACTCCTTATTCAATAGGAACATTAACCATAATATATATAGATATACACATGAGAATTTTCAATGAGTATTTTTAATGAATCAGATAATTAACCAATATGATTTTAAACACACATTAGTTATGTTCCTTGAAAGTTTAGACAGATGTACTTAAATATATATTTTCCTTTATTTTATTTCAGTTTTTAATAATCACTAGGGTTGCAGCCAGAATTAGTGAAGGAAGTTAATTTCTGAACAAACACACACACAATGATGCTGGATTTCTCTTAACTGAAACAAAATACAATTATAAAACTATGTTTATAAATCATGGTACTTACAGTAAAACAGAATCACCTATTGTTGTCTTATGTGATCTGTATTACAGTGAGTGGATCCCCCTTCTAACGATGTATCCATTGGCATACCTGGGAGATGTGCGATTAATCAACGCTTTATATAATCCAGATGGAGAGATGGGTCCCTCAGATGAATAACATGCCTGAGGGAGTGCACAAAGCATTATTTGTACAACAGAACATCACTTGTTTTAAAGAACAAGGAGTCTTAAACATGCTCATGCTCACATAGAATCTATCGACCCCTTTCAGAGGATGCCTATGAACCTCCTTGCCTATGACTTTCACTTGGAAGGGTTCTAGTAGCTCCTGGCCATGTCTTCTTGTAACATCCCTCCATCCCCACTCATTCCTGCAGATTCCAGCCCTCCTTTTACTTTTCCTCCACCACGCGCTAATAGGCTCCCAATGTCCATCCCTTTTACCTCAAAAACCAAGCAAGAAATCACAACACCCCATGATCTTCCATATTTCCTCGTGAGAGCCTGTCCTGCCCTCAATCCCACAAGAAGTTCCTGACCAACTAAGATTTTCTCATCACCCAGAACAGGCGATTATTACAACCTTTCCTCCCAATAGACTTGCTGTGAATTTTAAAACAGGCTCCTGGCTCCCAGACTAAACCCTTCATATCCACAAATCCCTCCCTCCTTTTTTTGATCTAAAATTCATGACCCTCTGACTACCCACAAATCTGTCACAGACTCCCTGAAAAATATCCTTTCTCACCTGGACTCTCCTCACGATATCTGCTGCCTTGACCTGCAGCTCTAAGTTCTTTATGTGCTCCCTAAGCAAGATCTTTGCCCTTTGCCACTCTTCCTCCCTACTTCTGGTCCCCTCATTAATGCACCTTCAATTGCCCATGGCCTTTCCTCACCAGAACCCATTGTGACCGAGGTCCCAGGGAAGCCAACTGAGGTCACTCAATTAGTGTGAACTGCAAATAATGGGGCAGACAATCCCCAAAGCTGGTGGATATTCCAATACTTATATTTATGAAGCCAGCACAAAACGGCCTCTATAATGCCTCACTGATTATCCAGAAGCCAACAACACAGTTCCCTTAAAGCAACCTAGCCTCAGGCCTCCACCCAGACACCCAAGTCAAATATGATGAGGATCACTGAAAATCTTATTCATTTTATAAAAAATTTCTACCAATCCCAAAGGATCAAACACATTACCTCCCAGGTTAAATGAATATTCCAGATCTTATCCAAATACACGCTTACAGCCAACTCTTATTAACTTAGTTAAAATTTATTAAAAAAGAAAAGAGAGAGAGTATTGGTTAAAAGATCAGTATATATACAGACATGAGTACAATTCTTGAGATTCAGATTCATAGCATAGATGCTGAGCTTTGTAGATTCAAAGAGTTCTTTCATAGGTTGCATAAAAGTGGAAAATGCAGTGAGGATGTTTTTATACACACAGACCATGAAAAAATGGGTGTTTATCACTTCAAAAGGTTTTCTCCCCTCACCCCACTCTCCTGCTGATAATAGCTTATCTAAAGTGATCACTCTCCTTACAATGTGTATGATAATCAAGGTGGGCCATTTCCAGCACAAATCCAGGGTTTAACAAGAACGTCTGAGGAACGAGGGTGGGTGGGGGGGGAAGGGGGTAGGAAAAAACAAGGGGAAATAGGTTACCTTGCATAATGATTTAGCCACTCCCAGTCTCTATTCAAGCCTAAGTTAATTGTATCCAATTTGCAAATGAATTCCAATTCAGCAGTCTCTCGCTGGACTCTGGTTTTGAAGTTTTTCTGTTGTAATATCGCAAGTTTCATGCCTGTAATCGTGTGACCAGAGAGATTGAAGTGTTCTCCGACTGGTTTATGAATGTTATAATTCTTGACTTAGGCTTGAATAGAGACTGGGAGTAGCTAAGTCATTATGCAAGGTAACCTATTTCCCCTTGTTTTTTCCTACCCCCTTCCCTGCCCCCCCCCCCTCCATTCCTCAGACGTTCTTGTTAAACCCTGGATTTGTGCTGAAAATAGCCCACCTTGATTATCATACACATTGTAAGGAGAGTGATCACTTTACATAAGCTATTACCAGCAGGAGAGTAGGGTGGGGGGAGAGAAAACCTTTTGTAGTGATAAACACCCATTTTTTCATGGTTTGTGTATAAAAACATCTTCTGTATTTTCCACAGTATGCATCCGATGAAGTGAGCTGTAGCTCACGAAAGCTTATGCTCAAATAAATTGGTTAGTCTCTAAGGTGCCACAAGTACTCCTTTTCTTTTTGTGAATACAGACTAACACGGCTGCTACTCTGAAACCTGTCAAGGGGTAATGAAGCCTTTTACCAGGCATTTGCCAGCCCCCAAATATATGTCAGTTTCTGAATTTACTGACAAAAACAGTTGTGCATTACTGTAATATTTATTCAGAACATGTCAGTCTATAGGACCTTAGTTTAAAATTTGCTTTAAAAATACTTCATTAGTGAGTTGGTGAAGATTAAAAAATCACATCTCTAAAAAATCCTTGCATAGATTTTTAGATGCACAATCATCTTTAGCCTTAAATGCTTGGATCTTCAGACATATCATTTTTTAAATAAATCCTTTAAAAGACTACACTTATCTAAAATACATATTTTAATTGCTATAGTAAAAAAAACTTGCTTCCAAAGTCTTCCTTTCTGTCCATCCCTTTCTCCCTTCACCCCCTCTGCCCCCACCCTCCCACTGAAGAGAGCCCTTAAAGGGACAACACCCCTTTCCTTCCAGATAGCGGGACAAAGAGTTTCCCTTTCTTTACTTCTGACTATCTGATTAACTGCTTTTAAGAAAACCCTCCAGTAAAATCAGTACCTTACTAAGATATAAAATCACACAAAGTAAATTAGAGTTCCCTTTTTCTAAAAGCAATAAACATTGTTATGAACACACTAAACCTCTGTGACTGATTAATTTAAAATAATGTCTTTGTTTCAGTGAGTTAAATATGTAGTAATCTGGAATGATTACTTTATGGAGGCTTAAGAGTACATTTAAAATATAAAATCAGCTTGAAATACAGGTTAAGAAAATGTAAAACAGAGAAGGGCTGCATCATGTATTCCATAATATTTAATGTTCTATTCAGCAAGACAGCTGACTCACCCGTACTTCAAAGTTTTTGCAAATAAATATCTGACAAACTTCAGGGCATATCAAAAAACCTGTGACTGACATTTTGTATTCCCAAGTTTAGTGCTTTTAATTAGGTACCTTCTGCATGTCCATTCTGCGTGAGGGAGAGGATACATGGGTCTCTGCGGGGAATTGTGACTCTCTGCCGCCGTGAGGCAGGCCGAGCGGCTTGGTATCCTTTGCTGCCTTGTCCCTCCCCACCTGGGCCGTGAGCCCGGGCTGCCGTCGGGCATAGGGACACCAGTTTAATAGTACTGCGTAGGGCCCTATAAATCCTAAGGGTGGCCCTGTCCAAATGCACTGTGTAGCAGAGCAAACAAAAATGGGAAAGGAAGTGTGGAGGTCCCTTAGAGAGGTTGCCATGGCAAAAGTGGGAGGAACTCCTTTTATATGGATCTTTAAAAGAGGATTCTGTTGAAGTTGGAGCCAGTTCTTATCTTTCTAAGCTGGTACACATTCCATGGCAGATCTCAAGAAATGGTACTAGGTCCTCTACCCTGAGTGGAAAAAAAAACTTCCCCAAAACTTTCTGCATAAAGACTATAAGGGCAAGGCCTTGGACAATTTTTCCAATGGCATTTGAAGTTTTCCGGTTGTGTTTTTGCAATATAATGAAAATTTCTGTCCTATATAAAAAATTCATAGTGAAAAAATGGTGAATTTTGCATAACTTTACAAACTGCCAGAGAAAAAGGTTGCTGCCATGTCAGTTCCAAACACTGGACATATATACAGAGAGTGAGAAAGAGAGAAAAAGAGATAGAGACAGAGATTATGTTTAGAATATCAAAGGTGTTTATGGGCATTGAATAGCTCATCAGATTACTAATATAGTACCTATCTGTCTTTGTTGTTTTGTCATCTATCCTCATAT